GTCTTCTGTTTGTTTTTTCTAGACGAACTCAAGAAGTGTCATCTTTGTTGAGATTCAGCGATACCGCTTTCTTCTATTTGAGTTGATCGTCATCATCATCATCTTTGTCATGATATCTCATGTGGGTTATAGGGGTCCATTAGGATTTTTTTTTTAAATGGGGTTGGGGGGGGGGGGAGGGTAGATCTACTATTTCCCTCTAACAAAAGACTTTCCTTAGGCATTTGCTTTCGAATGCCTTTAACTTTCGTTCCAACAAATGACTTTGCATCGGCAAATACACTGCCTCATGTCTGAAGGACACAAAAGGCAACATGACCCAACATGTTAGATCACATCCTCAAGGGAGACATATTGGAAGAGACAGGAGTGGAGCGGGTGTGGGGAAACTCATCGTCGGGGTGTCTGGTCGTCACCACCATGACAGGAGGTGTTTCCGTGGCACTCACGAGCAGCGGTTCAGAGGTGTGAGACAACATTATCTCCTGTGGTGAGGGTTTGTCGCTAGGAGATGGCGTCCAGGGAAGCAGCTGCCAGACTGGCGGTATCTCAAAAATGTCCAGTAGTACCACTTCTCTTTTAACCTCTGCACCTGGTTAGCCCTTGTCACACAAGGTTATTGGTGTGTTCTCCTCCTCATCCTCCTCCTCTTCCTCCTCCTCCTCCTTCTTCTTCTTCTTCTTCTTCTTCTTCTTCTTCTTCTTCTTCTTCTTCTTCTTCTTCTTCTTCTTCTTCATATTACTATTTTATTTTCTTCGCCTCCCCCTCCTCTCCTCCTCTTTCATCTTCTTCTGAACTGTTGTAAAGGCTACTGCTATAGACGATGAACTGCATTTCTAGTATCAGATTGTGTTGGCAGTTATGACGGCTGCTCTATGCACGTGTATGTTATTGCCTGTGCTGACAGTCTGAGATATTGTTTGGTTGTTTACAAGAGATAGTGATGGACATTGTGTGTGGTTTTCGTTAGCACAGTAACGAAGAAAGTATGGGATAATACATTTGCTCCTTCTTCTCCTCTATCTTCTGTTCTTTCTTTGTCCATTTCTTCTCTCCCCCCCCCCCCCCCCCCCCCCTCCCTCCTGTCCATCCCACTTCAGTGCTTTCCAGTAACACATACCTGCCGGTTTAGATTTCTCAGATCTCGCTTCATTAGCATCGATTTGAATGTCTGTTCCCAGGCTATATGGTTTAAGTTAGATGTAAGCATCATGGTGCTCTTTTTAAAACACCACACTCGATTATTACTTGTCTGTGAGCATTGTTGAAGTCGTCATTCTCTCTTATGTGTGACCTTCCGACAAAGTTATTGCTGAACGATCCTCGTGTGGGTCCCGGGATCCAATCGTGGGGATGAGGGGCGGGGGCAATAGACCCACTGCCTCCCCAACAAGCATATCGTAAGAGTAGACTAAATAGGGGTTTCCTTCGAAGTCGGAGTGCGACTGCATGAGAGGCAATGAACCAACAGCCTGTATACAAATAAGTTACTTCTGTAAAACGGATGTGTGCGCAACACTTAGGTTCTGAAACGTCCAAAGTCCAGTGGTGGGGAAGCAACCAGAACTTTCCGCCGGAGCTTAAGTCGGTGAACGCGAAGAAGAAGAAGAAGATTGCTGCACGATAATTCATTTCGCCATTTTTCATGTTCTCTCTAAAAAAAAAAAAAAGGGAAATGCGCCACTTTTATTCAACCACCGAGCAAAACAGACTAGAACATTTTATTGTTTTATGGGGATGTAGGAGGGGCGATGACAATTCTACAAAGGTGTCAGAATGATATACAGCCACATAGTTTATGTTAAACGCAGTAAATAAAGATAATTGTAATAATTTGTCACATAACGATCAATACGTTAATATTCGTTTTGGTTTTACAAGCAGTGGGATTGGAGATTATTAAGTGGTCGGGTATTTAAGTGAAATCGGGAGTGACGATGACCAAATCACCAGTTGAGTGTTGACTAGGCTTTACAAATGTGTCTCTAGCATCATATGTCGTATGTGTTGACTAGGCTTTACAAATGCGTCTCTAGCATCATATGTCGTATGTGTTGACTAGGCTTTACAAATGTGTCTCTAGCATCATATGTCGTATGTGTTGACTAGGCTTTACAAATGTGTCTCTAGCATCATATGTCGTATGTGTTGACTAGGCTTTACAAATGTGTCTCTAGCATCATGTGTCGTATGTGTTGACTAGGCTTTACAAATGTGTCTCTAGCATCATGTGTCGTATGTGTTGACTAGGCTTTACAAATGCGTCTCTAGCATCATATGTCGTATGTGTTGACTAGGCTTTACAAATGTGTCTCTAGCATCATATGTCGTATGTGTTGACTAGGCTTTACAAATGCGTCTCTAGCATCATGTGTCGTATGTGTTGACTAGGCTTTACAAATGTGTCTCTAGCATCATATGTCGTATGTGTTGACTAGGCTTTACAAATGTGTCTCTAGCATCATATGTCGTATGTGTTGACTAGGCTTTACAAATGTGTCTCTAGCATCATATGTCGTATGTGTTGACTAGGCTTTACAAATGTGTCTCTAGCATCATGTGTCGTATGTGTTGACTAGGCTTTACAAATGTGTCTCTAGCATCATATGTCGTATGTGTTGACTAGGCTTTACAAATGTGTCTCTAGCATCATGTGTCGTATGTGTTGACTAGGCTTTACAAATCTGTCTCTAGCATCATATGTCGTATGTGTTGACTAGGCTTTACAAATGTGTCTCTAGCATCATGTGTCGTATGTGTTGACTAGGCTTTACAAATGTGTCTCTAGCATCATATGTCGTATGTGTTGACTAGGCTTTACAAATGTGTCTCTAGCATCATGTGTCGTATGTGTTGACTAGGCTTTACAAATCTGTCTCTAGCATCATATGTCGTATGTGTTGACTAGGCTTTACAAATGTGTCTCTAGCATCATGTGTCGTATGTGTTGACTAGGCTTTACAAATGTGTCTCTAGCATCATATGTCGTATGTGTTGACTAGGCTTTACAAATGTGTCTCTAGCATCATGTGTCGTATGTGTTGACTAGGCTTTACAAATGTGTCTCTAGCATCATGTGTCGTATGTGTTGACTAGGCTTTACAAATGTGTCTCTAGCATCATATGTCGTATGTGTTGACTAGGCTTTACAAATGTGTCTCTAGCATCATGTGTCGTATGTGTTGACTAGGCTTTACAAATGTGTCTCTAGCATCATATGTCGTATGTGTTGACTAGGCTTTACAAATGTGTCTCTAGCATCATGTGTCGTATGTGTTGACTAGGCTTTACAAATGTGTCTCTAGCATCATATGTCGTATGTGTTAACTAGGCTTTACAAATGTGTCTCTAGCATCATGTGTCGTATGTGTTGACTAGGCTTTACAAATGTGTCTCTAGCATCATATGTCGTATGTGTTGACTAGGCTTTACAAATCTGTCTCTAGCATCATATGTCGTATGTGTTGACTAGGCTTTACAAATGTGTCTCTAGCATCATATGTCGTATTACGCCCCTATCTGATCCCAAGTTAAGATTACCTTGTAACAGTCAGGGTTCCAAGTGCTATCAGGGCAGCGGTTCTCAACCTGTGGGTCGCGGCCCATTTGGCGATCGAATGATTAAATGATTAAATATTAAATTTATAGATGTTCCTTCAAAACCCGGATTCTCTTCTTCAGATTCACAACATTGATTGGCATCTTTTCGTCGTTAGTGTTCTTTTTTTTTTTTTTGGGCGGTATAAGGAGGCATGGGACTCACAGAACATGACGCTGTGATGAGGCATGGCACTCATAGAACATGACGCTGTGATGAGGCATGGCACTCATAGAACATGACGCTGTGATGAGGCATGGCACTCACAGAACATGACGCTGTGATGAGGCATGCGACTCATAGAACATGACGCTGTGATGAGGCATGGCACTCATAGAACATGACGCTGTGATGAGGCATGGCACTCACAGAACATGACGCTGTGATGAGGCATGGCACTCACAGATAATGACGCTGTGATGAGGCATGCGACTCATAGAACATGACGCTGTGATGAGGCATGGCACTCACAGAACATAGCACTATGATGAGGCATGCGACTCACAAAACATAGCACTATGATGAGGCATGGCACTCACAGAACATAGCACTATGATGAGGCATGCGACTCACAGAACATAGCACTATGATGAGGCATGCGACTCATAGAACATAGCACTATGATGAGGCATGGCACTCACAGAACATAGCACTATGATGAGGCATGGCACTCACAGAACATAGCACTATGATGAGGCATGGCACTCACAGAACATAGCACTATGATGAGGCATGGCACTCACAGAACATAGCACTATGATGAGGCATGGCACTCACAGAACATAGCACTATGATGAGGCATGGCACTCACAGAACATAGCACTATGATGAGGCATGGCACTCACAGAACATAGCACTATGATGAGGCATGGCACTCACAGAACATAGCACTATGATGAGGCATGGCACTCGGAGAACATGACGCTATGATGAGGCATGCGACTCACAGAACATGCCGCTAGGAGGAGGCATGGGGCCCACAGCGCAACCAGTTACGGCCAGGTACGAAGTCCATCCTCCCTATAGCGCATAGCCTTGATAGTATTGTAAAGACCATATGTTGCCCATGCACCATGATCCCTCTCTCGACTTGCCTTGTTTACCCCAAAGGAAAGGTAATACCAGTAGGTTTATAGTAGATTCTCAACATAGATAATCAATAAATCACGCATGATGCTTATCCAAAAGAATCCGTAGCACATTTGTTTCTGTTTTCTTTCCCCATGTTGCCAGGTGCCCACCGGAAGTTACGACACAGCCATGCAGTGGTTTTGTAGTCTGTGAGGCCAGCATAAGTCAAGCCAGCTGCCTGTCCCCTCGCCGGCCCGCGGGAGTCGGTTACAGCGGACTAAAGTGAAAACTGGTGGCGGGGGCGGACCGCTGGCGAGGTGAGGCCGCCCCCATGCAGACAGTGCTGAATCAGGTTATGGAATCGTCCTATGGCACCATTGGCGGCCCTGATGGTTCGCTGCCGCTGCCTGACCCCGACTTGTTGGACAATGGCAAGGTGAGATTGTCCTGACCCAAGTGGAGCTAGCGAGCAGTTATCAGCGTTTTTAACTCCCTGTCAGTGTGTTTATCTGCCTGTCTGTATCTGCTTAAATGTCTGTTTTTCGCTTTTTCTCTCCATTCGCTTTTAAATGTTTCTTCTCTCTCTCACACACAATCTCTTGCATCAATGTCTTCCCTCTTTCTATCTCTCTCTCTCTATCTCTCTCTCTCTCTCTCTCTCTCTCTCTCTCGCTCTCTATCTCGCTCTCTCTCGCTCTCTCTCTCTCTCCCCCCCCCCTTTTCTCTTTCACATTGATTAGTTTAGCCCCTTTCAAACTAATTTAATTAATTAATTTCTTCACACCCATGTAGGTATTAGTTTAGCTTCTTCAAGCCCATATAGTTATTATTTTAGCCTATTCAAGCCCATACAGTTATAAGTTAGCCTATTCAAGCCTATACAGTTGTCAGTTTCGCTTCTTTAAGCCTATATAGTTATTACTTTAGCTTTTTCAAGCACATTTAGCTATTAGTTTAGCTTCTTCGAACTCAATTAGTAATTAGTTTAGCTTCTTCAAGCCCATATAGTTATTACTTTAGCTTCTGCAAACCCGTACATAAATTATTAGTTTAGCTTTTTCAAATCCATATAGATATCAGTTTAGCTTCTTTAAATTCATGTAGTTATCAGTTTAGCTCCTTTAAATCCATATAGTTATGTTAAGCTCCTTTAAACCCATATAGTTAACAGTTTAGCTCCTTTAAATCCTTATAGTTATCAGTTTACCTCCTTTAAATCCATATAGTTATGTTTACCCCTTTAAACCCATATAGTTATCAGTTTAATTCCTTTAATCCATATAGTTATCTGTTTACCTCCTTTAAATCCATCTAGTTATATTTAGCCCCTTTAAACCCATATAGTTATCAGTTTAGCCCCTTTAAATCCATATAGTTATCAGTTTAGCTTCAAACTCATGTAATTATTAGTTTAGCTCCTTTAAACCTATGTAATAATAAGTTTAGCTCCTTGAACGAGAGCTCTCCGTTGCTCGTCCGTCACCAGTGATGAACACCATTTTGCATTTAAACTCAATAATAATGAAAGATTGTGGTTACGGGAATTACCGATGAGTCCAAGTCGAGTATGGAGAGTTCACCAGTACAGTTGATACCAGGGGACAGCCTGGATCGTTTAGTTGACCACCCGTACCTTGTGCAGAATACAGTTCAGCAGGGACGGATGAGGTTCAACCCCACCAAGACCGCCCAGTCAGCGATGAACACCCGGTGACACAAAGTGCCACTATTCTGATGAGAATAACCCTGGTCTGAGTCCCAGAAAACCTCTTCAACCGTTAGGTTATTTTAGGGTCCCCGATTCCAGCCGGGGGGGGACTTTGAAATACCCCCCCCCCCCGCCCCCCACACACATACAAAAACTACGTCTCATAACGGGCGAGGTTCCAGCAGAGATCAAAGAAAAAAGTACATATTTCAGCTCGATAACGTATGTGTTTTGTGTTTCTATGCCTCCAAGCGTGGTTATACCACGACCGTCTCCAGCTGAAGGGAAGTGCTGCTGACGTCGACGGGTCGGGCTAACGATGCGTTAACGCAGCGGTTCTCAAACTGGGCTATCGTTAGCGTATGCCAGGGATGTTGCGGCAATAATCAAGAAAAGTCAGCAAAAATTGGGAAATTATTAAAGAGGGCATGTAGATATTTAAAACTTAAATTTAAGTTATCTTCCCTCGCCAGTATCAAAAATAATTATTTCTTGTTTGAAAAAAAAAAATCTGCCATCTTACAAAGGCTTCGAACCCGGATATCCCACATGGGAACCCATCGCACTATTCTATTTTTAACCCGCACTATTCTATTTTCAACCTTTTCACGACCCCCGCATTTGTTTGCCGGGTGTACCCGTCAGCAGAATTGCAACGGTGTCTTGCTGTTTGTACTGCTGGATTTCCTTCGGACTCTGCTGGCTTCTTCAACGTGATGTTACATACCACACATGTGATCTGAGAGGCCCATACGAGCTGCAGCCATAAATCACGACCTGTGATGAGAATGCGCTGCGACAGCTTTTCCGCTCCAGGTTTTTATACCGGAATTTGCGTAATGTTGCAACCCTTGACAGAGGCGCGGAGGAATGTGCAAGCGCAGACGCCTTGGGTCCCTACGCCCCCCCCCCCCCCACCCCACTATTTTTTCTTCCTCTCTGCCTAAAAGAAATTTTAAAGGGGCTACGCTGTCTTCTTCAACTACGTATAGAAATTATCTTTACAAGTGTGTGTTAATAATTATAATTATTGTTATTTTTTTAAAAATGATTATATTTGTTCACCAAATTGCGCATTATTGTTAGTATTATCTCAAAACTAGCATATAATCACTAATGTAGAGCTTTGGGAGAGAGCTAAACATTTTATACTGGACCAAGAGATGAAGAAAAAATGCTGGTGTTGGATAGGACACACGCTGAGAAAACCTGAGAACAGTATAACTAGAATGACTTTGCACTGGAACCCACAGGGGCATGGAAATCAAGGAAGGCCCACAACTCATGGAGAAGGCAGCTAGAGAGTGAAGCTAAAAAGATGGGGGGAGGACATGGGGAGAGCTGCATGCGATAGCGAAGGATGGAACGACTTGGTGTGAGTTGGTTGAGGACCTATGCTCCATTTGGGGCTAGAAAGGCAGAAGAAGAAAAGAACAAGAAGAAACCAGCGTTAGGCCTTAGTGTGGATTCCTGGGCAAAATTCCTGGGGTTGGGGGGGAGGGGGAGCATGTCGTAAGAGTCGACTAAATAGGGGTTTCCTTCGAAGTCAGAGTGCATCTGTGTGAGAGGCAAGGAACAACAGTCTTCACACAATCAATGTGCACACAACATTCAAGTTCTGGAACAAGTCCAGAAATTTACAACCAACCAAAACTTTCCGCCAGAGTTTACAGCCGGTGAACGCGAAGTAGCAGCAGCAACAGCAGCAGCAAAAGAAGAAGAAGAAGAAGAAAAAGAAGAAGAAGAAGAAAAAGAAGAAGAAGAAGAAGAAGAAGAAGAAGAAGAAGAAGATTAGGCTCCCAAAGCCCCATTCTCCTACTTCTCTATACAATGCCTTCTTTGAGTCAGCGCCACTGACTCCTGAACGTATAGGCTCTCCAAACCTTACATCTCCACATTATCATAATGGTCCGTGTTTTTGTTGTTGTGTTTTGACAAGTATATCACACGTGTTTCCTCGGAGCATGCAGCGCACTCTATTGGCTCATTCCTTTGCAAGTAACACGTGACAACACTAATTCCCAAATTGTAGTAAACCTGCACAATGTGCGTACGCACGCCCAGGCACACACACACACACACACACACACACACACACACACACACACACACATTGTTAGTTGCATATCCTTTACCGGACGTTGCAGAACCAACAATAAACTAATCAAGAAACAGAAAGTGTATTGATTGGCACTCATAGAAAGAAGTAAAAAGATAGAAGAACACGCTAGACAACATAAAATTCGAAAGCTATAGTTACCGTGCCGGGAATTGAACCTGTCACCTCCAGACAGCGTGTGCGCCTCGCCATGAATACAAGTGCACTAAGAACATGGTCAACTAGGCACCCCCCAAAAAAGGGTGTCACGTTGGTCATGTCTATCGTACAGCTTGAAATCCACAACTATGGAATACGGACATAATTCTTCTTCTTCTTCTTCTTCGCGTTCACCAGCTGTAAACTCTGGCGGAAGATTCTGGTTGCTCGTCCACTACTGAACTGCAGTCCTGCTCCAGAACCTGAGTGTTGCGTGTGCATCAGTTTTACAGATCTTATTCTCTTGAATACAGACTGTTGGTTCCTTGCCTCTCCGGCAGATGCACTCCGACTTCAAAGGAAGCTCCCCAATTAGTCGACTCTTACGACATGCTTTTGGGGAGTAGGACATAATTCATTTCAAACCATTGAAATGGCACCATAGGTTACAGAAATTTATATTAACGAAGCATATGTCGAATAACAATCACAGCAACAATTTACGAACACAGTAGACCTTAATGCTTTGTCCAGAATACACAAACATTTCAGAAAGGTATTTGATTGGTAGTTCCGGTGTGTATACGTCATATAGCATTTTTTGGCTGTTGTAGTTTTTATTGGCAAATTAACGTCCAGTAGTTTGCCATTGCTTTCTTGACGGTCGGCTTCTCGATACCACTGTTAAAACCAACGTAAGACGCAAGGCTTGCTGCTGGGATCGAACCCGGCACCCGGGCATTGCGAAGCTTGTTCGCAACGCCTAAGCCACAGATACACACATACATAGAGCAATCAAATTTTGCGACGTGATCATTCATCTGAAAAGGAGATCTGACGCAGGGTTGACGCTATCACATTTTTCTTATGTTCCTACTGCCTCATATTCAACCTTCCTTGCTCTGATTGTGCTGTATACTCTAGTTTCGTTACTTTCTTACTTCCTCACTGTCTAAGATTGCTTACTTTCAGGATGCAACGCGCTGTATATTCCTTCTCATAATGATATATCTTACTTTCATGATATACCATACAAAAGCGTCCTTGTTTTTTTTTTAAGATATACCATGTAAATCTTTCTTATTTTTTATGATACACATATTTCTGCCTAGCAAAACAGCAGTTAACTCTATATATTCCTACACAAACATCAGTTAACTCTATATATTACTACACAAGCAGCAGTTAACTCTATATATTCCTACACAAGCAGCAGTTAACTCTATATATTCCTACAAAAACAACAGTTAACTCTATATATTCCTACAAAAACAACAGTTAACTCTATATATTCCTACACAAACAACAGTTAACTCTATATATTCCTACAAAAACAACAGTTAACTCTATATATTCTTACACAAACAGCAGTTAACTCTATATATTCCTACACAAGCAGCAGACTGTATATTCCTACACAAACAACAGTTAACTCTATATATTCCTACACAAGCAGCAGTTAACTCTATAT